GTGTAATTAAATTAATATATTTTTTCGACTAATTAATTAATAAAATATATTGACGGAAAATATAAATTAATTTTTTAATTTATTCAAAAATGGTTTTGAAATATTTAATATGAATAAGCTCGGAATTATTTATAACAATTACACGCACATTGTATGCATTCTAATACCTTTCCATTGTTTTAAGCAAGATATACATGACCTTTTCTATAATTGTTTAATTCCAATTATAAACAGAGCAATGTGTGTACTTGTGTTTGTGTGTGTGCGTTGTGTGTGTTGTGTAGTTTGCGCGCGCGCGTGTGTGTATGCTGTTTGCGTGTGCGTGCATGTGTGCAGGAGCGTGTGTGTGTCTATTAAAATAAAATAATATTTGACGTGTATATTTAATTTAGAGCCACGTGATATAAGATTTCTTAAATAGAGTGTATAAATTTGCGCAGTAAAACTCGTTTCATATATTAGTTCTCATTTCAGTATCATGAGTTTGTGCCTTTGATGTTACCAAATTTAAAGTTTCTTAATCTCTTGCTGATAAATGATCGTTCGTTTAATGATTATCAAACTATTCTGGTCGATGATTGCTGTTTAACTTCAGTTGTTGGTCATGGTGAAGTACTGACACAACAATGATTGGTAGTTATTAATTGCGTCTATAAGTCATGAATTGCAGAGAAAATGGCCAAATGTCATGTAATGCAATGTAAATTGCATTATTTTCTGCATAATTTGATCATATTCGATTAACGAATCTAAATATTTTATAGAACCTATGCGTATCTCCAACTCGATGCGGTAACCTAATAATTATAAAAAAGGATGCTCATTCTTTTCTTAATGGAAAAGTTATCACTTTAAAATTCCTATAAAAAAATTGGAATACTGGATAGCACATTATTACGAAAGTATTGCAGTAATACCGGTAGTAATAAGAGCTACCCAACGATTTGGTATGGATCGAGCATCTTGTAGGGAAGTCAAATTGAAAATTGTTAGTGGCGACCTATAGATGTCGCAATGCACTTGAAAAGAAAAATTTGCATCTCGTTATACTACTGTAAAGCGAGTCTTGTCCCTGGACTACTCTAAGTAATACGCGGAGGCCGTCAACTAACAGTAACTATGAAAATACAAAGATACTCTTGTTTTTTGAAACTCGAAAAATATAAGCGATGTTAACTTATTTTCTCATTATTTCGACTCCTACAAATTACATGCAATTAGCCCTCTTGTTTAAAAATGTTCGTAATAATTGTGGTTAATAAGATTTTTGTTTCTAAAAGTCTGTAAATTATTGTAAATTAATTAATAATTTTTCTTCCATTTCCAGAAGTAAAAAGAGTTTTTCACGTTTACTTACTTTAGTATAACTTTAGTTTTAGAAGAAAATAACAATTCATCAATTCTCAATTATTTCAATTAACATATATATTTTAAATAATATATAATTTCTGTAATCGTATGATACTTAGTCATCACTTTCAGTGTATGTATATTTCAAAATAATAAAACTAATAAATAAAAAAGTTTAACTGAAATACTTAATATTTGTCATTCCTAAAATAATTCTTATATCAAGAAAAAATTAATTACATATAATTTTTAAAGTTGTAACTTATATAGCTTTTAATGAAAAAATTGAATTATTTATTCTGAAAATTTATATTCGAATTTTAATTAAATGTATATAAATTTAATGCGATTGTATGAAAATTGTATAAAAGTAATGATTATAAAAGGTTTTGAATAAGTCTAATCAATCTATTTGATATTTTTTCTATTATCACTATTATCTAATTAACTGAACTTTATTCAGTAAAATTACAGGTTGAGCTTTAAAGAAAATATTCGAGAAATCTAAATGAAATAACATTTTTTTTTAATCAATAAAATTTCGTCAAATGTAATTTAATGTGTAAAGTACCTCTGATTTGATTGATCATTGGATATATGTTTAGAATATTATTGATGTAGCCGCAATGAGTTTACTTCGATTAATAAATCAACACTGTCGTTAAAATCTGAGAAGCTCGATAATTTTTTCTCACAAGAGAAATATTTTTCGACTGATTCGCCGAGTGATTTTAGAATCAGTTTAAGCATTATTCATGTGCATTGGTCAAAGCCAAAGCTCTTTCTTACACGCACACATATTTTCTCAATTGGCTAGGCAGCATTAACCTTGCACCGCTTTCCAGACTTAATTAGAGCCCTAGTGGTATTCACTGATTATAGCGATGCGCATGACAGCTCTTCACGTGTTGAGTGCGGGGTCGTCGGGTACACGTGTACCGACACCGAGTCTTACGTGATTGCAAGACAGCGTAACTCCATGGACAAGTTCTTGAAAAAAAACGTATAAAATATTTTCTTCTAGTTATCGCCTCTTTGTAGTAAATTATCATTTATTATATACGTGCATTATTTAATTAAAATTATTACATTAAAATTCTTCCACTTGGTTGTACTCAAATGAACATACAATTCTTGTGTTAAATTATTTTATTTTTATTTATTGTTTATAATTTTTCACCTTATTATAAGATTTAAACAATCCATAATATACAACTCATTCATAATAATCTTTTGCAAATTTTCTCTATGTGTAAGAGGAAATGTAATATTACTATTACCTAATTAATATTACATTACCTAATATAAATTTTAACTTTTCATTTATTTTTAAGATAGTTATAACATTTCTGTCAATATTTAGTATTTGTTGTATTTTTTAATTTTATTATTAATTATCGTTTACACAATTTTTTCACTCAAATAAATTTATTATTACGAATTCAGATTCTCTAAATGTGTCAAATATTCTGAAAAAATGTTTGTACAAAAAATAATATAACAGTATAATATTACAAAATTATTTATATATATGTGTGTGTGTGTAATAATAGAAATATTTATTTTTTCGATATGATATGATATATTCTTTTAACATTTTGATAAAGCCAATGAAATTATGATGTATTAAATTCATTTTCATGTACATTCTATTAATATTTTCATAGGAATTTGGATACAAAATTAAGTCTAAATTCACTTTAAAATTGCACCAATACAAATGAAGAAAATAACTTGCATTATTATTAACGATTGAAAATATTTATTAAATAAAAGACTTAATGTAAACTTAATTATTTCGTAAATAGCTAAGATCAAACTTAAAATAATTTTAAAAACGTTTCTTATAATGGCGTCTTATATCACATACATCCGTTAAAAACTTGTGTACTACATTGCCATCTTACAACAATGAAATATATAATTAATTTTAAATTTGTCTAATATATTGGATTAAATTCAATATTGTGTATAAAGTAATAAACGTTTGTTATTAAATATATTTACTGTAGTTTAAAAAAAAAACATAAAATAATTTTAAAATATTTTTAAAATTTTACTTTTTCAATTGTATTAATATTTTGAATGTTGTAATATTTCTAAATAATTTAGAGTAGCAAATAATACATTTCATAAAATAGTCGCACTTGAAAAAGTAGGATAACAACGATGTTAATTAAGTGGAACTGACATAAGCTGTTGCATTTATTTATCTTTCGAATTTTATTTTATTTCAATTTAAATAGCAATATCATATGTTTTATCTTTCGCATATCGTTAAAAAACAACCTAACCATCGCTTATAACTCTTACTCACTAACTCCTTCTATACATTCATTGGCTACAAAAATTTTTGTTATAAAATAAAATAATTGTATTACCTTTAGATACTTTAAGCATATTTAAAAAGAAATACACGTGCTTGTGGTTTATGATTACGCATTTAAAGCGATTAATTATAATTATAGAAACTCGATATATAATTTTGAACGAAACAAATGGATAAAAGAAAGCATAACTTGAATAAATATTATATAAAATAGTAAAGTATTAGTGATTATAATAGTAGAAAAAAGAATTGATGAAACAGTTGATAGAAAACTCGAGCTTGTATTGCCTTCAGAAATGATTTGATTTTACTACATGCAAGTCTGTAGTGAATATTGATAAAAATTGAACAGCCTATTCATCGGAGGCCACACTTCTCTGCCACGCATATGTTTTGTATTACTTTTTTAGAATTTTATTATTTTATGATAATTTAATATGCACAGTTTTCAATACATGTTAATTATTAGAATATAATCGGAATAAATTAATGGAAATAATCTTCCTTTTATAAAATAAAAATTGTTTTGATCTATTAAAATATTTAACTTTCTATCATAATTAAAATTTTATTATTCATTAATTAAATTGCCTTAAGTAAACAAATTCTTCAAGCACTCCATGTTATCATTATTCAAATTGAATTGATATTCGATAAATATTTTGAAAATTAGTCATTCAATCAAATTATTTACAATAATATTAGATAATACCTTTATAGTTTCAAATTTTTTTATCAGAAATTTATAAAAATATTACTTTCTTCAGTTATTTGAAATAATTTTGTGCATTAAAAACATTATATAAATGACTTTCCATGTTAATCGTTTAAAATTGTAATATTTTAAGTAATTACAATATTTTACCATTTTTTCAAACAAATAAATATTAGTACTATTTATTCTATTCTTGGATTAGTTTATTTTGTACTTATTACAAATAAATATGATACATTCCATGGTAGGTGATACTGTGTAGGTTGTTCTGACGATACGAAGCATTGAAATTTTCCAGTAAAAAAGAAGACTGTTATTGATAAAGAAGGATGGAAAATTTGTTTTTATTCAAGACAATATCTATGTTTTTATTTTATTTTTAAGTATTTATGAATGCTCTCACACACGGGCGCGCGTTCATGCATAAACATGCAAGGAGTGAGCGCTATGGTGTTTGTGATGGCCGGAGTGGAAAGGGGAAGGAGGTGGGGGAGAAAGACAGAGTAAGAGGTGCACAACACGTATGTACGCAAGTGCATCAAGGAACATTCTGTCTTTCTCTAGCCGCGTCCTTTCACCGGCCAATAGCAAGTGGGACTGAAAAAGAGCGCCGGCTGCAGCAGTAGTGAAGCGCCATGCCGGTCAGTTTACGACGCACAACGGACTTAACTGGTCGCTCTTGCCAATTGTCGGCAAGTTAACCGTGCGAATCGCCTGCTAGTTGCTCGACGCGTCCTTTATCTAGTGATTCTTTGGATTTGCTTGCGGAGAGCCAACGATAAGCCGACCTGTTATTCTTCCCACACATGCTCCTGGATGATGGTATAGCCATAGGATTTTCCTTTACAAGTCTATAATGGTGCTTGGGTAGTGTTTTGTACACTAAACGATTCAAAGCTCTGTTATTTTCTCTTAGCTCTGCTGTTTCTTTTTTCTTCAATAGCTTGGGGTATACAATCATCTAGTATTGTTTTATTGTGTTATAAATTCATACGATATTGTATATTACTGATTTTAAAAGAAAAAACTTCAATTATTAAATAACCTGAGTTCTTGCATCTGATTGTCGTCAATTATTAATTATAAATTTCTTAAAGAATAGTTTATTTAAATTCTTGTTTCTTTCTTGAATGTCTTTTGAAGATAGGTAGAATTATTTTTGCGTAAGTAATCATTATAAAAATGTAGACAATCATTGTATTTAAAAATATTTTATTAAGTGAAAAAAATATTATCATTAAATTAAAAATATCTAAATAATTAGTTAAAATTTCTTACACTGTTATTGTACAAAAAGAATATAAAAATTATAATAAAAATGACAATCGATTTTTTATATTTATTTTTTGTTATTCTTAAAATTCTTACTTTTAATAAGTTTTCCTTGGGTATATGGAAAAATGAAAATATATATTGCATTGATACATAATCAAACTTAAAACATAAAATAAATAAAAATATAAATAATGTTATTAGCATCTTGATTTATCTGTTCAGAGTGATTCTTCTTTATCTCGACGAAACATTCCTTCCTTTAGTTATTACTTTTATACATTAATTTTGTACCGGACAATTTTTTTCTACGTTTTAGTTAAATATTCATATTAAATCAAAAAGTATCCTTCTTTTAAATCAATTAGTCTCCAAAAATCATCCTTAAATTTACGTTTATAAGTCGATAAAAATATTTAATAATGTCTAAAATGACTTAAAAATTATTTTTAAAATTTCTAGCCATTAAAATTAAAAAAATTAAAAAAATTAAAATGCTAATGTATAAGCAGGTTAATTCATTTTGAATTCGTTTAAGTGATTAACATCGAGGCCTGTCGGCACTCTCACAAAATTCATTACGGTAACTGTAGTAATCGTGCAGTCAATTCGTTTCACTGGTCAATTTATATACAAAAAAGAAAGATACGCTCCGTATGACTAAAATGGAAAGAAAACATAATTTTTCCTCTTTTGGTAGGTTAACGGATTTCTTTAAATTGAAAAGTTACAACTGCCAATTAATTATAATTTTCTTTATTCTATAGATCAAAATGTATACGTATACGGTAAAACGTGCCCAATACATATAGTATTCGCAATGCGTGACTCTGATGATGCCGCGGCGGCTTCTGAGCATCGCAATGCTCTGCTTACTTCATAATCGCACAAATTCGATGAAGCTTCATTTTCATATGTTTTGTTTATTGGCATCTACAGCCTCATCATATGCGATTTGTATTATTCGTAATTTTTATGTTCTTGCACGTATTCCTTTAAATTTGAAGAATTCAGTTTCTTTTTTAAGTTAAATATTTAACAAAGAAAAAAAAGAAAGAATTATAATACATATACATTTTGCAGGTGTTTGTTCAAACGATTTCTTAATGAAAAGAATTATTAAATATTATTCGTTAATAATGTTCTAAATAATAAAATTATACAATAAAATTAATATGTACAAAATTAAAACACACGTTAAAAAATCTGTGTTAATAAATCTAGATACATATTTAATCAAATTAAAAAATATATAGAAAAATTTAATATTACTTTTATATCATTAGACTGTACGTAATCAGTTGAATTTATTATAAAAAAAAGTATTAAAAATCTATTTCTCCTTGTCCTTTGTTATGATGTTGTTAAAACTTGTATTACTATAATCACCTTTAGTTAAAAAAAAAAGAATTACTAAAAAGTAAGGTCAGGTAAATAAGGTCTGTGGATAATTTAGAGCAACAAGCCAGTTTAATGAAATATCTAACTCATATATTATAAATTTTATATTATTTTTATGTATTTCTGAGCAGACGGTAAAATAACATTTAGTTTTTTATACAATCTTCAAAATATAACTTTTCTACAAATAGGTGCTGCAAGTTATTAGTATTTAGTATTATTGTTTTGTTGTTGTTGCTATTATTATATATAATAATGCATAATATATTTAGATTCATACGAATACGAAAATATAAAAATCAACGACCCGCCTAAACTAATCATCATACACTGTAGTTCTCAAGAGATCTGTGGTTACACCTACATGTGTGTAAATGCACAAACAATGTAATGCGCTTTACTATTTCTACATTTTTTATATCGTTTCGTGATATAAGATTTAAAAAAAAAACATATTCACTACATATACCGATTAAATCAATTTTTGATGACACATAACTTCTCTTAATGCCAATTGTATTTCCTTTACTGGAATTATGAATTCGTTTTTCAAATTTTCAATTATTAAAAATAAGAGACACTTAAACTACTAAATGAAACTAAAATATATATTGCATAACCATTATATTCAAACTCATTGTACTAATTTTTCAAAACTAATGCATTTACATACTTCAGTAACTTAAAAAACCTTTCTTACACTAACGTAATCCGCGATGATTGTCAGCAGCATAAAATTTCAGTCACAATGATGAAATATGAAAAATAAAAAAACACCTGTTCTTTTGAATTTTCTGTATTATACAAATAGCTATAGAATTCAGTTAGAAATGTCGGTCTCGGGAAAACGTGAAAATTCTTGTTTATTGAGGAAACGGAAGTATGCAGCATTGCGCAATCAGTCCACTAATAATCAAATACGAATGCAAAGTTGAGTTGCAAAAGGGAAAACAGAATTTTAAAAATTAAAAATTGAAAAACTAGTTTGTAAATAGTTTCGTTTGTAATTTTATCGTTAATTATTTTTATTTATTTTAATAATGTGTGTGAGTAAAATGAGAATAAATACAAATCAAATGAAAATAAATAGTAAACTTAATTATGGCTCAATTAATGAGCCTTCAGTGACATCTCTATTTTGATTTTTCTTTTTTTTTTCTTTTAATAATATGAATGTGCCAAGATACCGAATATTAAAAATGTTTTAAAGTTTTTCCTTTTTGCGTACAAGTCGAAAGTACTGCGATGAATATTGTGTAACATAGAAGATATAAATTGCTCTGATTTGAACTTTCGATTTGTAATTTGGAAAGATTCAAATTTCTAGTTGTATCATACATAGTTTGTACGATATTTCTATCATTTGAAAGGATTCTCGTGTATACTGTATTTCATTCGAGATATTTAGATATTTTATTTATAGTATTTTTTTATACTAACCTTAAAGTAATTCGATATAATAAATAATATCATAAATAAAATTTTTTTAAAATTATTAAACAATTTATAGTTATTTCAAATATAATCGAGATGAAACATTATTTATAAAATTATATTATAACTTAAGAAAAAACATTTATTCATTTAAGCGAGAAATAATAGATTTAATTTAGATCTAGAAACAAAATTGTTTTTATGCTTTAAAAATAAATTTCCGTAATGAACAATATTTAGATTGAAAGTCAGTCTTTTTGTAAAATTTAGAGGATAATAATGTGTCAAAAATTCTTAATTTAGTCAAATTAATATATGAACATTGGAAATATATATTTATTTTGGCGCCATTGAACAAAAACATGTTCTGATACTCGAGTAATATTGTGGAGTTTATTCGCAATTTATAGTTGATAGTTACAAAGGGATGTAATTATTTGGTATCGAGATTCCTAGAAAACTGTGTAAAATAATAGGTCATTATCTACACGGCGATTATTATATATTATATATATTATATGATATATTTAATAGCACCAGCACATCAACAAAAACAAAATATTTGTATTTAAGAGTTAATATATGGAAATGTTAATAGAATTAAAAATCGATTCATAAATTTCTGGAAAACTGTGGAAGGTTTTAATACCAATAAACTTAAACATATTATGAAAGACAAAAAATATTCTTAAATCGTACAATAGCATATTGTATATAAAAAATAATTTTTTTTTAATTTGACTTGATTATTCAATAATACTTAAATTTGATCTTATATGATTAAAAAAGTTTGACAGATTCAGATATTTGGTATTATTAATTTGCTGATTTCATTTTATTACAATGATATTAGTTTCAATTTTACTCTTGATATAATTTACAATAATTAAAATAAAAAGAGTTCACATAGATATTAAACGAAGTATATATTTTCTAAATTTAATAGCGTTTTTTAAATTTTAAAAGTAGAACAGTAAACGTACATAAAATTTTTTATTTAATTTATAAAATCATATCGTACACCATAATCGGATATAAATTACTGGATTATCAAGAATCGGTCATTCTCTTTGAAAAATTGTATATAATTATTAAGACTAAAACCATATATGAATTTATTATATTTCACTATAGTAAAGTTTAATAAGAATATTTATTGTTCAAATAGTTTTTGAAATTATACTCACAATCAGAGTTAAATTATAGCAAATAAAACTAAGAAAAGTAATTTATACTCGTGTATACCGTCAACTATGGATTAAATGATTGAAAACAATACTGTGTAGTATATTGATGAATAGAAGCCAAATGAGAATCGATTGATTTGTGGAATAAATAATTTTCATAAGCTGACGCAACTCTATAAGTTTCTCAATAAACGGCACTACAGTTCGCACATATACATCAAAATATTATAAAAAAAAAATGTATAATCGAATAACTTATAAAACTAAGTGCTGTATTGATATAATGTATGGACAACCCCCCCCCCCACCTAAGGTCGTAGCTGCACGCTTTCTAAACATAGAGAGCGTGGAGGAGGACGATACGGACGATTGCATAGTCCGATTCTAATCAGTTAGCAGGAAGCTAGTGCGGAAACGTGGTTAACTTATTTAATTGATCAGTTCTTTTTCTTTATTAAAATGTTTTTTGTAACATCTGATTGCATTATCGTGGAGTACTTGATTTTTTATTTAGTATGCAAGTAAGTGCCTTAAATGCTTCGCTGGTATTTACTAGCATTTTCAAAACTCTAATATGTTCGTGCATTTATTATAATAAATTATTATAATTGTTTAATAAAGTTAATTTGATCGTGGTTATTAAATTTTATTGTAATTATTGAAAGCATTTTGATTATTCTCAAAACCACTACAAGTAATTAGTCAAGTAACGATTTAATTTATTGTTACTCCAATTATTAGATATTAATATTTGCAATATTCTTTTGACAACTGTGGAAATAACATTTGTAAAAATAGCCTTCATGTTTTATAAATTATATACGAAGCTGTTGCGGCAACATCTGCGATACTTTTAATTTGCTGATCATTTACTATAATTCATACCTTTATTATTACTATTTTACATAACTGTATAGAAAAGAGTAAATATGCTTCAGAATTTACGGAATAGAATCTCAAAATTATCGTTTATTTTCGTGATATCACTCCTAGCATTTTTATTATTCAAGTATGTCGATTAAAGGATACAATGAAAATACTTGTAAAGCAAATCTGAATCGAATCTTCTGAATTTAAACAATATGCAAATTATATATCAGCAATTTTTTTTTCAATTATTTTTGTATCCTGAATACAATAATTAATATCAAAAGTAAAATTTATGGCTGAATTATAATAATCTAACGATATATCTATTTTTTGCTTATTTGCATTTTAAATATTAAATGACTTGTTAAATATGTTTAGTGTGGGACTTAAAATATTGTGTGTGAATGAAAATATTGTAAAAATATCAGTATTAATAATTAAAAGAAATCATATTTATTAACTGAAACTAAAAATCTCGCTAGGAAAGACAAAAATTATTGATATTTTTATATTATAACACAAATATATAAATAATATAAGTGCAATAGAGTTCCTTTTATAAAATTTGTTTAATTATGATTCAACATACAATATACATTGATACAATGATTTAAAATTTGTGAAAATGTGTAAATACCCAAGCACCTCAAAGACACAAGATCTAAAGTATAATAAGTATTAAGTTAAATTTATCGGCAACTTTTCATCAAAAAATTATAATGATGCACTAAACGGGAGTATAAAAGCTGTAAAAATAACAAAAATTACTGGCTTTTGAAAAACGAATAAGAAGTGTTAAAAAACAATATTAAAGCAAACTGCCGCGCAATGCAGCCTCAAGGATGCTGAAGTGGGTGCACCATCCACCCTCGCTGCCCAAAAACCATACGACACCTGTTTCGTCGGTGAGCAGCAATGACAGTACTAGTAGTAACAATAATATAAATAACAATAGTAGTAGATTTGCTACATATGTGAATGATACCGAGAGTGACAAAATTCAAGAAAATGCACTCATCACCAATGAAAGAATTTGTTACGATGGCACTGTACACCCTAGAAGGCGGATTGGGGTAAGCCTTTCAGTCCAGCTTCTTCAGAATCCTTGTATAAAATACCTTTTTCAATTTAACGATTTCTAGTTACTGTTAAACATACAATTCCTATATTAATAAATTGAAATAACTAAAATAGGTATTTAGTCTAGAGACCTAAACATTTTATTATCAACAGTTTTTAATTAGTAGAGTCAGCAACATTATTTAATTTAGCGTATTTACTGCATATTAGTATTTATAATATTTATCCTTATTATTATTATTTAATTAAAATTTGAATTTGAATTTTTAGTAAGTAAATACGATAATTGAGAGTTAGAGTATGATTATCTATCTTTAATTGGAAAAGTTTTCGTCAACAATGGAGTAATTTAAATAAGTTCTATTTATCGGTCTATGGTAATTATTGAATCGTGTAAATCATATTATTCTGACAATACTGTATACTTTTTAAAAATAGTTGCACCTATTATAAGAAATATTTTAAACATCGAATTTTCATGATTACAGAATTCAGTAATTATTTGACTAAACGTAAAACATTTTTAAATTAAATAAATATGCGAATATATTTGTAATACATATTTTATGATACAACATATTTATATAATTTCAATAAAGTTCCATATTTTCTCTTGTCGATTACTATTATGCTTGTTTTATAATTTACTCAAATATTAAATTTCTTAATAAATTCATAAAGCGATCGATTATTTATTTTTTAATTATTTTAAATCCTATTTAAAACTGAAGCTAATGATAATAAATCAAGACTGTTTGTCGTAATTATTGAGCAATTACAGCGTATTGCCATTTTAAATGTGAATGGATATGAACATCGTCAGAAATTTCTAGGTAGATATATTATCGTTACATAGTTTCCGTTGTACTTCCTTGGCATGTATTATGGTTTATGAAATTTCAGGCAAATTCGCTTTTATTTTAACAGACAATAACTTGTTAATTACCCATGTTGACCTATTGTGAAAAAAATGTTTTTCATTTATTTTATAATCTTATATATGATGAGTTAAACCTTTAACTCGTCAAGGCATAGATTGGTAATAAAGTGGACGGTACCACTAATAATGACCACTATAAATTGTAATACTAAATGAAACAGATAAATAAACACACACACATACATATATATATATATATATATATATATATATATATAAATAGACAAAAAGAAAGAGAAAAAGAGAGGGAGAGAGAGAGAGAGAGATTGCCTTTAAACAAGAGTACATGCGATTTACCAGTTCTGTTATTTAGGCGAAGAATAATCTGGAGTGATATGAAGAAGGTGGGTGTGCGCATATTAAGGTAGTGTATGCATAATAAGTAAAAATATCTGTTTTCTACTGAATTGCAATTACCAATCTTTTTATTATTCCTAATAACGCATCCTTTCAGCGAATGATTCAAAGTATTTAAAGTTTACACAAGTGTTGTATATTACATAAGTAATTGTCTATATGCCAGTATTGCGAAAGACTTCTTTTACACGACATTAAAAGTTGTAATATAATAATAAAAATGTTGAATATCACACACACATACGCACGCACGCACGCGCGCGCGCACTAACATATATATATATATATAGCAAAAATAAAATTTTATGAATTTGTAAATAATATTTTATCACCCACAAAATATTAAATCATAAGTAATGAAAAATAAATAATATACTATCACTAGATTGCCAACAAAAGTTTGTATGTAAGAATTATTCAATCTTTCACAATAAAATTTCTATATTTTCATAATGAATACAAAAATAAGTCTGTAATGTTTTAAAAAAGTAATTTATACTAAAAGTGTATATAAAATGTGTACACAAAAAAATATTCATGTTTGATAACTGATGAAAATAAAAATACCAGTATGGAAAATAAAGAAATAACAGATTGAGAGTTATAAGTAGTCACGTCTGTGCATAGTATGATGAAAGACACATTAAACGTTGACATGAGAATTTAGGAAGCCAACCATATCTGAGATTTAATCCTATTTTGAAATCCGGTTGGAATAAAACAATCTTTTTGTGGCATGTTTATGATCCTCTCTCCATTATTTCACATTTTATTTGATTAATTAAAATCATTGTGCTAATAATTGATCACACCAATACTTTTAAACAACAAATGCCTTATTACTAAACTAAAACTAAATCTAAAACTAAAATGTTGTTTTAATTTAGGCAAATTTCTATTTGCTAATACTTGTAAATTTTTTACTTGCAGTATGTATAATAATTATTTAATATTAAAATTAAAATATATGTAAAATCATATAAAAATTTTATAATAAAATTTACTATATATATATATATATATAATAAAATTAATTTTTTCTATATATTTATATTATACATTATATTGATTAAATTAACGATTAAGTTATAATTTTTTCAAATAAAAATTGCAATTTCAAGCTTCAGGTTGCCGTATAGGTAATCATAAATATTTTATTAGTTCACCATATTTTCTTAATATGAATTATAACTTTTAAAAACAGATTTTAATTACATCAGGTATTGGGAATTGCCTTCGTTTTCTGTGTAAGGAAATATATCTGTTTTTATTCTTATTACCTTATCAATATTATCTTTTGAAATGTAGAAGTAGAGCAAAGAAAAATCCAACAGAATTTTATGACTCAAGCGTGAAAGTTATAAAAACGCGTATCGTTACTATGACGCTGACTAGACATCGACGTTACTCGCATTTTTCCCTTTCACTGTCGAAGTCTCAAGTCACATTGCAATGTTGCATGTGCACAAGTCACGGATAATTAAAATTGTCAAAGTTAGAAGTACTTGCATTACCAATATACATCATTTGTTATTTATCTGCTTTTTTACGAATCATAAATTGACTTCCATAATTATCTGTCTATGAACTTTATTTATACCTACATAAAATCGATATATATGAAAAGAAAAATGCGAAAAAAAATTCTATAATTAGACTGATTTTCAAAACATATTTGTATTGAATTAATAATTTAAAAATTGAGAATTTGTAATTTTTAATACTATATTTTAATAGTATTTGAATTATAAAAATGAATATTTAAATAATAAAAATTTGAATTTAAAGTCGAGTATTTTTTTCATTTTTATATTTATTTAAAATATCATTATTATCACTGAAAATAAAATATTATATAAAATAGCATTTAATAAGACAACTCAAAGATGATTAAATTATAAAAATAATTGTAGATGAAGAATTGTACAGACGAAATAACTATAAGCCAATTCCATAAAAATCAATTAAATTTTATTTTATATTCAAAATAATTTATTGATAACCATTATATAAAAAAATGCTGCTGTATTGTTTTCCTGAACGAATTTCCAAATCATATTCAAAATTTTATAATATACTTATATAATGATTTATATAAAAGTATATCTTTAAATTTAATCATAATAATTCAGAATAAAAATTATTTTAAATAGAACGATTATAATAAATTATAGAAAATTACGATCACAAATATTTCATATATGAATTTTTATACATATTCAAGAGATTTTTTAATTTGTATTTACTTTAATTTTCTTTATATAAAAATAATTAAAAATATAAAGACAATCAAATTAATCATAATTTATTATGCAAAAATAAATATTACGTAAAATTATTACGTAATATTTACTGTAACCGAACATGGAAACTCATTTTACTTTACAAATCAGTATTTACAATTTTTCCTAAACATATATTTTCACATATAATATTTTCTTCATATAACTCAACATTAGTATAATATAATTTAAATGAATAAAATTAATCTATTTAGGGTATTCTTCATAATTCTCTGATATAAATCTTGATATAATATGTATTATATTCTCGATAAAAATAAACATACGTACTATTAGATTTTTAATTAGTTTTTTTTAATCCTTCGATAAATAGATAAATTATAGATCGGAAACAATTCTAACTATATTATTACTTTTATTATTATTGTAACATTAATTAACCACATTAATATTTTCATAAAATACTATTTAAATTTTTTTATCGTGTTACCAAAGTTTGTAAAGAAGATAGAGCAAAATTATGATTATCATATAAAAATCATAAAATTTAATATTTCTTATTCATTTACCAAGATAAATACAAAATTGTATTTCATTTAATTTATTATATATAATACGATAATTATTATTCACGGGATTATTTCACTCAATTCAAGCATATTAGTCGATAATCTTTATAAATTAATAAATAAATAGGAAAGAAATGCAATGCAATTAATATAGGTAATGGAATGGAATAACTAATATAATAAGAACTGCTTATATATAAATGAACATTGCCTAAAGTATAAAGTAGTCTAAAGCTGAAGTACTGTATTCACCTAAATTAACTTATATTCTTGGATTATTAGATTTAAAATAGAGATTAAAAATGGGTATTTACGTTACTTTATTATGCTGCTGAAGTAAGAGAAGGCCCAATCATAAATACTTTTGACTAAATAAAGTCTATTAATTTTGAAACAATTATTAGCAATAGCAATTATTCTATAAAATATATTATATTTTGTAAAATGTAATTCTTACATAAAGACATAACTTAAACAATCTCACATTAATGTTTATAAATATAACCTCGAATATTTAATTGTATTTTCATGTTATTTACTGACAAAAATTAAATATGAATTGATTATTTGAAGAATATTATACAGGTTATACATTATACTAGTTTGTATTGTTAACTACAAATATATCTAGACCGGAAGCATATCCTATGCACAACAATGAAGTGCAGTCTGACTACACCTAATCAAGCCTATTAACTATGTGTTTATTTTCTATAAAATTCTGTTACTAACAACTGTTTATTTCTATTAATTATATTATTATCGAAAATATTGCAGATAGTAAATTTTGGAGGCTATTACCAAATATAAGGAAATATATTTAGATATTAAAATTTTTAATTATTGTTTTTTAATAAATTTTGATTAATGTTTCATAACCGATAAAGTGTAATATCTCAGTTAGTGCTATATATAATAATAAATTTTAAATGTTTTTTCTTCAATAATGTTAATAAATATCATTATTTACTACTGCTAATCTTATTATAAATAACAATAGTCGTATACGTTTAGATTATAATTAATGACTAAACAATATTTTTGTTTTATTACAATCATGACTAATTTTTAATGCTATATTTACATTAATTATTATACAATAGATTTAATTCATTTTATTAATTGAAAGATGCACTTATATATAATTTATTGAAATATATGTAAGAAATATTAACTGACATGAATACTGAACTGTTTATTCAATAATTCATATACATATATATATATAAAGTTTGAATTCTGCTGTTTTTGAGTGTATTTAATTATGTATTCATAAAATCTTTGTATAGTTTCAACTTAGCAGTATTTTTTAGTACAAATATCCATAAATTTTTACATAAGTAATAGAAAAATAAAAATTCTTATTAATTAATGTGAAATTAATCGAATTATAGAATTAGCCTTTAAAGAAAAATATGAAGTTATAAATGGTACATATACTATTTCAGAAAAAATTAAAAATATTATATAATGTAATAAAATGCTAAAACATAGTTAGTTATATTTGTTAGATCAATTAAAACTTTCAATACTACCATTTATGAAGTATTTTCAAGAAAAATAAGCTATAAGAAAGTCAAATTTATTATGAAAAATTTAATGAAAAAATATATATTGTTAAATTTTTAAATATATGATTTATAAACACATACTCTTATAAACTTTCATTCTTTATAATTTGTTTTAAAAAATACTTGTATAAGTTACATTATAATTATACATTTATACAATTTAATACTGAAATGAATAACTTCGTGTTTCAATCAAATAAGTCAATTACATTAGATGTAATTTTTTCTTTCAGTAAAATTGTTTTAAAGAATTTAAAAATATATTAAGATAAATAAAATTCTACTTTTAAAACTGATCATATATATATAACTTATAAGCTTCGTCCTTATATTATACATACTCCGTAATACCCAATAAATAATTGCATATTATTTCATATATTAGTTAAAATATTGATACATAAATATAATCATAAAATAAAATATCATGCAATAAAGAATTGTATAGAATTTAGAAGTATTTTATAAATTAAAATGTTCAAATTCATGTTATTCCGAAAAGAAAAGATTTTCACTAATAAAAGAAGAAACTTACTTTATTAGCTTATGAGCAATATTTTTAACATTTTATATCTATAAACAATACTAATTTTAATAGTTATTTAATTTACATAATGAAATTTTATTTATTATACATATTTAGGGCTCGGACCCACGAGTAGCTACATGTAGAGGAAAATTACAAAATAAACGTAGTAAACTTAATCAAGAAATTAATAAGGAGTTACGATTACGAGCTGGTGCCGAAAATTTATTCAAGTTAGTATATTTTATATATTGTAAAAATTTTTCCAATTTATTTTATCATCTGCTTATATATTTAAAACGTGAAAATATTAATTTTTTTATTATATTACTTGTTACTGTATTACTTTATTTAACGAATAATATACCTTCTTTAATTTCTTCTGTATAAGTTAATAGTTTTCTCTGTCAAATGTTAATTTTTTTTTTAAATTAACAAATGATGTGAAATTAAAATATGAAATATATTATTAAAAATATTATGTTTTTCAGGGCAACAACTAATCGTAAGCTCAAAGAAACTGTTGCTTTGGAACTTAGTTTTGTAAATTCAAATTTACAGCTTTTAAAGGAACAACTTGCAGAACTTAATAGTTCTGTTGAACTTTATCAAAATGAAAGGTAAAGCTATATTTTGTTAAAAATAATCTAATAACAAATTTACTTTGATTTTTAATTCATCAACTTAAAAATTAAATAGTACTTAAACTTTAGATGCTAAAGAAAAAAGTAAATATTCTATACAACTAAATATTCAATAACTGAATTAATAGTTAAATTTAATATAAGAAGATCTATAAAGTACATATTAATAGTTTCACCTCTTACTTTCTTCTATGTTCTGCCTCGATCTTCCTTTAATGCTCGCCTAATTTTTTAATAATGTTGAACTTTATTAATATAATGTAATAATAATTTATCTGAACTTTAAAAATAAACTTAATATAAAACGTAATATGTCTTTAATAGAATTCATAATATAAATCATAAATATAAATGATCTGTTTAGTTAATTAGTTAGTAATTTTAATTTTTTTTGAAAGCCATACTAATATTATTCTTATTGATTTTTGATATTTTGTCATTTATTTTATAAATTTTAAAAATATATGTTTTTAATCAAAATTTTTTTATTGATTTTGAAAAAGAAAGTTAATTATTAAATTTATTCTAAATATTGCACTTTAAAAATATTAACATAAGATTACTGAACTAGAATGTTGTCAAACGTAACTGAAATATTTTCTTTATCACACGAAATAACTATGTAATGCTTAAATCACTTTCACATTTTTCTAGATAATAAAATTAACTAAATAATTTGAAAGACCATATGAAATTATGTAATTTATATTGTTTTTCCTTTATTTTAAAAATATGTAATATTAAAATTTCCCATAAAAAACAAACCTATAATATCTTTTAAAAAAACTTACATTACACTTTAAATTGAGAGTGTAAAGTCAGAATTCATAACACTGTTATAAACAAAAATATGAGAAAATGATGAAATTCAAGAAATAATACAAAGTCTCTAGCTACATACATAAACATGTTCACTTTATAATCATAACGGGAAGTCCTGTGTAATTTACTACTCACATAAATGCTGAGAGCCTCTGTAACTCTTTTTTTCTCTCTTAATTCTCCGTGCATTATACTAACATCTAGATATTTGTTTCATAAAAAATGATTCGTTTGCATCTTAAAATTCTACATAGAAACCAGATCAGCGAGAAACACGGACCAATAAATTTTTAATCAACCAACGATCATACACCCATACTTTATGAATATGTATATATACCAATTTTATTAAGCCTCAGTTAGAGATGTCGGTTGCATGACTTTGCCAACGAGTATCCCATATCGAATTGTGACAAAACACATACATAACTATAGTTTTTTATACTTGAAATTTTACTATACTATTTGAAAAATTCATGCAAAAATGAATAACAGTACAGATTTATTTTTCCTTTCTTTTTTATTGATATTTTAGTGATTTATAATGGCGCTTTTTAAAAAACACTATAATGAAAAATGCAGTTCAAATTACAAATGAAATTAGAGTATTTAAAGCAAAAAAAGTATAAAAAATATGAAAATAAAATTATAATAAAATATATTAAAATTAAAGTGAAATATAAACAAGTATTAAAAATAAAATAACACGCATCGACTATACTCCAAGAAAATGTTTGAAACTTTTATTTTATTGATTTATTTTATAAATATAATATAAATCTTACGTGAAGAAAGCCAAATTAAATGCAAATAAAATTTACTTATATATCAAATTAACAACAAAATATTTAAAAAATTTGAAATTTCCACTTATCAAAATTAATTAATAAATAATAATAACTATTTATAAACATTATTGAAAGCAGAATAATCTACAAAAATTTTATTTTATTACGAGAATGAAATTAGTGATTATTATATGACTATTTGAAATTTTCTATTCAATTTTAACTTGTATGAAATTAAAAAAATATATTCATTATTCGACAATATTATTAAATATAATTAGAAATTTTTATTTATTTTATTAAATCTATTTGGCCTAAAACTATTATAATTCTACATTCATTAATAACAATCAAACGTATTTATGTTTCAGTGAGGATGCCTTCATGCCTCTAATTCCTCTGGGATTGAAAGAAACGAAAGACATTGATTTCAGAGATCCTTTCAAAGTACGTATCATGGCAGAAATATATTATACATTATTACTAAATATCATGCGATAAACTAATTAATACCTGGTAAATCATACGTTTCAAAAGATTATAAAAGTAAAAAAAAATATATTCACATAATGTATTTATGACAAAATTAATTGTCAGAATATTTTATCAGAATTTCATCAACTCTATATTATCTTAAGATTTTAAGTTGTCAAACCAACAATTTAACAATCAGATTAATAATTTACTCTAGTAGAGGTACATTCGGATCATCCTTAAAATCGTTATCCTTTATTATTAAATTTTCTTGAAGTTTGTTCTTTTCTTTAACGATTTCAAGTAAATCTTTAAAGTTATTTTTAGGGGGTCCAATTTCTAATAATTCTCGTTTCGTCACTTCGCTCGCAGCTCTTATACTCAACTTATTCTTTTTGTTTGTATTCTTACTAGAAATGGAAATGAGTGGGCTTCCTAGTTTTGTGAGTTTCTGTATTCTCGGCATAATTACTAAGAGATTGCCTGTGATAACATTACGTTGAGCGATACTGCTATCCGTGACTACTTCGCAAGGCAACACCAATTGCAAGATTTTTCCTTTTATCATTACACGAATATAATTTGGTTGTACATCCACATCAACATAAGATGTGTCGAGATGCCTAAAAAGTAGTTTCATATTAATTTGATTGTTGTTTTTTTCACTTATACGTTATATGTTTTTATATTTTTAATATATATTGATAATTATAAATCAGAAATTGTAATAAAATATTTTATCAACTGATCACTACCATATACTTATTATTTAAAATGTACGAAAATTGTTAACATTTAAACTGTTGAATAGAAAAATGAATATTTATTATAAAAACTTATTGTATTTTATCATTTTAATTCTTTATTTATATTAACGAAAGATAATAATAAAAGTATTTATTATTATTACTCTCAATCATAAAGTATCATGCACCATTTACGAAAAATTTTACTACATACAACAAAAAATATTTTACTTTGGAATACGAAAAAAACTATTATAAGAATAATATTTATATAGAAAGTTAATCTACAATATTATACAAATTATTTTAAAAAAAATTATTTCAAGCATTTTTACTTGTATATAGCAACATCTAAAGTTATATGTTCACGATCATCTTCATCATTAAGTAAAAATGAAATCTTTGGTTGATTAATATTGTATGGTTTTCCTTCAGGATTAAAAAATTTTGGCACATATTTCTTCTTTTGCTGTTCAAAGTGCTTATTATCTTGTTGCTTCTCTCTTTTCATAATTTTATTAGCAATTGCAATACGATCTTCCGGTGTATGATGACTCGGAGCACTCCAGAATTTTGCATCATCGTCCTCATTTTCTTCCTTTGTAAATAAATTTTTTTATAATTTTCTAAGTATGTAATATAAATAAATTCATAAAAATGAAAATCTTACATTTTTTAATGCATTATAAATAGTTAATTTTTTACAAAACCTATTTCTTCATAATATTTTATTAAGTATTCTTTACTAAATTATATCTAATTAATGAAACATAATTGCTATAACTATGACATCTAAATGTTAATTTTTTTTTAATAAATACTCTGAATTTAGAACAAATATAGATAAATATACGAAAATATAGATCGCTGTATAATTATTAACCTTTTTATTCTGCTGATTTTCAATTTCAGTAATTTTCACACGAGAAGATTTTTGTGTCTCCCTAAAATCTGCGTATTTCCAATAATCACGAAGAATATTATCTTGTAGCTCGGCATACCGTTGTAAGGCCTTGATCCTCTCCGAGCGCTCGATTTGAACCATATCGAGCTCCTTTAACTGTGGCAACGTTGCTACTACGTAGTCGCGATATCCGTCGTAATCGCAGCATGGATTGCCACTCAGGATCAATTGCTCCAGATGCTGATTGTGCCTTCATGAAATATTTTTCGAGAATTTCCACCAATTATAAATATTTTATTTTGGATATTTTATCCTTAAGTATTAAATATCCTGAACATTAAAGCCTTAAGTATGAGGCAAGAATGATAAAATAATAATGATAATAATTATATAATAGACCATTAAATATAATATTAAAATTAGATTAATTATAGATAAAAGGAAAACTGTGATATAATTAATGTTGTATGATTAATTTATAGCATATTTATTATAATTAATGCTTTCTAACTCATTAAGTAAAATCTTGATTCATTTTAAATTATAATACATTTAATTGATTACATTCTCTATGATGATGATAGATTGCATCAACAATTCCAATTACTGTTTATGAATAATTCAAGATAAATATGATTAGAATTTGAAGTTAATTGTTACAAAATATGCAAAAATATTTTTAAGTTTTGTCAGTATTAAGCTTACAAATACTTTTTGATTATAAAATTAGAAAATTCTACCAAATTTTCGTATTACATTATATTATACATTTTTATTTTTCTTGTAAGAATTGTTTAAAAACAATGCATAATTTATTATTTATTATTACGATATTATAAATTTCATTAAAAATTTTGTATTGCCTTCACTTTATTTAAAAAAAATATCATTATATTTTACCTATTTATTATATACTAAAATCTTTACCACAGGATTTATCTGTATCTAAAATATTCTTATATATTAAATATGAATTTTAAAAATTATCATATATAATTATATATGATATTAATTTACTATTTCAATAATGTTTATGTTAATGGCTGAGCAATATGTATTATTTAACTAACTTGTTAAATTATTATTTATATACGAAATTCATAGATAGATGCTAGTGTTTAAAAAACTCGTATTTTTATTTTAACGTCATTAAATTTAGTTTTCGTAATATTATATTTGTATTATTATACTCAGTATTGAAGACTGAAATATTTATTTAATTACTTATAAATTTATTTGATTATGTTATAAAACGTTAATATGTAGTAGATTATGTTAACAATGAGTTAATGTATATACCTTAAAGTCTTAACTCCTTTTAAATTACCAATGAAATTTATCGTAAGATCTAACTTCTTTAAGCTTTCCAAACCTTCTAAATTTTCAATAATTTCAATATTATTTAATGCTAAATTAAGATACTCAAGTTGCTTTAGTTTGTGAAGATTTTCTATCTTAGATATGAGGTTGTATTGTAATAGTAGAATCTTCAAATTTCGACAAGCTTGATTAAGTAATTCAATTCTCTCGATATTTTCCTGGTGTAGCGAAATCTCTTCCAACGTTGAAATTTCACCTTCATTGTGTTCTGAACGTTTACGCAACAAATCCATAGTTATTCTTGGCATTTTACCAAATATACGTACAAAAATAATATAGTACCTTATAGTACTATAAAATAACATTAAAAATAGGTTATGTCACATTCTGAGAGAAATGCTGACAACAAGTGATATTGATCTAATAATATATGGTTACTAAGTAAATTTTATTTATTCCTTTCTTTAATCGATGCATTTAAATGAAATATATGTTTAATACTTTAATAATTAATCAAATTTTCATCAAGTGAGTAAATAAATGCATATTTTTAGGATTTTATTCTGGAACATTACAGTGAAGATGGGGAAAATTATGAAGAGGCAATCGCAGAACTCATGGAAACGAGACAGGTAGATATTACCATGCACATAAATACTGATTCTTTATTGTAAGAGAATTGTAAAGGAAAACGATCTCTAATCAATCTTAAATACAGAGATAACCGTTTGCATATTAAACTAATTTGACTTTCATAATGCCCTACAAATATAAAAAATAAAATTATTCCAAATGAAAAATATTTTATATTACAAAAAATGAATTATCTGCACTGAAATATTTTTTAATAAGCACAGAAACGTATACACAACTGTAGTAATAAACGAATTATAGAAAAATCGTCGATCGAAATATGTTGCTAATTAATAGTTATTTAAATATTTATTTCGATGTGGAAATTGAGTGCATGAATTTCTTTACATCTAAGTTATTAAAAATATAAAATATCATACCATAAAATTCTATGATGAAATTAGAAATAATATAAGTTGTAATAATTCTAATAATAATTGAGTTTCGTGAGGCAAGCTGTTTTGTAAACTAGAATATTAGATACCTTGAAAACAATAGTTAAGTTAATATAGAAAATTTAAGTCTACGAACCCATGTCGGTTACTTAGCACTCAAATAAACCAATAAAACAACAATTAAACATCTGCAGGCGACCCGTACACCGACACGCGATACTGCAGGTATTGGACTATTGTTGCGTTACTACAACCAGTTATACTTCATCGAAAGACGCTTCTTCCCGCCGGAACGTAGCCTTGGGATTTACTTCGAGTGGTACGATTCGCTAACAGGAGTTCCGAGTTGTCAACGTACTGTCGCCTTTGAGAAGGCCTCGGTACTTTTCAACGCAGGTGCCCTCTACACTCAACTCGCCGCCAAACAGGACAGAAGGACAGCCCGAGGCCTCGATCAAGCCATCGATGCATTCCTTAGATCTGCTGGCACCTTCCGCTACATCCATGAAAACTTCACCAACGCACCAAGCATGGATTTGGGGCCTGACATGCTCGACATGCTTGTGCAGCTTATGCTGGTGCGTAATTGAAATATGAAATTTATGAATCAAGAATATTCATGATATATGAAAAAATATATCATGATATATCTTCATAAAACTATGCTCCTAACATTTTCTATTCAAATTTTATTACGTCGATTATAGACGGCATTTTTTTATCCTTTCGAGATCTGCTTTTTAGATAAAAAGTTTTCAACGTTTAGTCAATTATATAAATTATATAAACAAACATATATAAATTTTATTATTTAAATATTCTTTAAGTTACTTTTATGTGATGATACTGAAACACTGAAAAAATAGACTACTATAATTGTAAAAAAAAAAAAGAAAAAATAAAAATGGTACGCGTCGTATTAATTAATTCCTAAGGAATTTTTCTTGTAATTTCAGTTGTATATGACATCATTTTCTTAATGATCATAACAAATAAAAGTAGAAAAACGTATATTAAATATGATTTATTATTTATTATCTAATTAGGCACAAGCAAGGGAGTGTCTATTTGAAAAACTTGAACTCCAATCTAGAGAATCGAGGGATATTGACGTATCGCTGGATATTGCACAAGAAGCCGTGCAGGTATTTATGTACAATTATTGTTTATTTAGAATACTTAGTAATGATTGTCTCATTAAAGATTAAAAATTTAATTTGTATACTGTAAATATTTACAAACTAAATTAGATAAAACATGTTTAAAACATTTTGGACATATTATAGAATGACGGTCCAAATAAAATGATATTAAATGATAGTAAAATTAAAAACTATCAAAAAATATGGAAAAGATAATAATATTATTAATGTCAATTCAACAGGTATCAGCAGTTTATGGAGATGCACATACTTTGATATCCCGCGAACCAGTACGTGACTATGTACCAGAATCCTGGATATCTCTCATATCTGTTAAACGTGAACATTATCTCGCTCTCTCGCACAGATACTGTGCAGCTGGCCTTCTCAACCATCTAATAGGCGATTTTCGTCCAGAGACGCGAATTACTCTTGAAAGAATCCAGGAAAGTGATTCAAAAACACAGATGGACTGCACCGTACCCAAAGCTGATAACGAGCGTCAACTCCTAGGTAATACAATTTATTTCCTCATTATATTTATGGATAAAAGAAATTCGTTTACATTTAAGTTTGAGTACCCGTTTTAATGAATTTATAACAATTTGTTAAATTAAAATTTAAATTAAAAAAAACAGCATTCAACTTCTTATATGGGACTGAGTACTCATAAATTTCTGTCATAATATATTATTGTATAGAAAAAACCATTTTTTTTTTTCAATTTAAATGTAATACATAAATTACATAAATTAGAATTTTTTACAAAAATTTTAATGCATCTAATTCATAATTTCATATTATTCAACAAAATGAGGTGATACATGATAAAAACAAATATAAATTATTGTTAATAGTGAATCGCAGGAATTTTTATAGGCTAAGAGTCACTTAATAAAAACTTCATAGATTTTATTAAACTTTCTACTGCAAAATATAAATAATTTATAAATTTTTCAAACAATAAATGTTGGTATACAAAATTCATATGCTGCAAACATTATATGAAAATATAAATTGATACATTTAGAAAATAACAACAAATATTTTGGATTATTAAATATTTATTCATTATTAGACTGAATCACATAAGATAATTTGTGTAATAAACGAAAAGTACTCCAGAACATTTTTATTATTTAAAATTGATTATTACGAATTTATATAACTTAATTAAACATAAAAAAAATTCTTAAAGACTTTAGGAGCCGTCATTGAAAATTAATTAAATTGTTATATTTAAAAGGTCAAGCACACATCAGAGAGGCTTTAGTTCTTCATGAAGAAAGTCAAAGGTTACAAAGAATGTGTAGAGAATTAAAGAGCAAACAGTCATTGGCAAAAGTTTTAAAAAACGCACAAGATTTTACAATGGAAATTTATGGTAAATCCGGTGACGAAGATGATCTTAGAGAACTTCTCGATGCGCCAAATATAATTGGTAATATAATTTTAATGAATTTTCAATGTTCAAAAAGTAATATACGTTCTTGATTATCTAAATAAAAAGCAATTCAAACTATTTAAAAAAAGACCCAATCACGCGAACTTTTCTAAATAAATAATGTGTAGCAGCGACTAAATTCCAATTGAGCCTCACGCATCCAGACTTTGGCCAGCACGGTGTAGATGATTTGTTTCGCTCCCTGGGACCAGTGGCGATATTTTCAGCGAAACGTCACTGGACAGCACCGAGACTCATTCAATTGCAGCGAGGACCAGGGGGTGAAGGTTTCGGATTTAGTGTTCGAGGTGACGCGCCTGTAATAATCGCTGCAATTGACCATAACTCTTTAGCTGATGTGAGTGATCCTCCAAAATTTACAAATCTCACTTTATGCATTTACTCAATTAAATATTTGAATATTTACAATAATCAAGTAAAATAACATTTTAACTCTTTGTGATTAATTAATTATTTAGAATTGTTAATGCAAATTACGAAATTTGAATTTAAATTTCATCTTTATATTTCGCAAAGTTGACTAGTTGAATTATATAATAATAAAATTACTTCACAACTTTTTTAATGTTAAGATATTCAATTTAGTTCATTCGGGTATATTTATGAATTTATTATTATATTCAAATTATTATTAATAAATCTTATTCAATAATTTTTAATAAATATCAAATAATGTAAGTTGGATGAGATAAAAATTCAATTATAAAATTCAATATAAATATGTTTTAGCTTGGTGGAATGAAAGAAGGTGACTTTATTGTTACGATCGGTGACAAAGACGTCAAATGGGCTTCGCACGAACAAGTTGTTCGACTCATCAAGCAATCTGGTGACTCAATAAGCCTGAAACTTGTCACACCAATGGACAGAAATTATTTAAAAGTAAAGTATTTTACTAATAATAAATAATTTTCGCGGATGTTAATTTAATAACGATGGCATCTTATAATCATTCCATATCAATTTACATTAACAAACCAATTTCAATTTAGGGTAAAAAAAAGAATTATTTTATCGGCTATCATTAATTTCAATCAAATTATTTTATTATTTTTATTATAATAAAAATGTATGAAGAGAAAAGAAGTGATCAAATTCTATTAAATAAGCAATCGATATATATATATATATATATATATATATATATTCTATTGTAGAAGCCAATAAAAGACAGTAGTCGTGACAAAGGAAGTGTATCAGCGAGCAGCTCATCCGGCATCTCATCTGGACAACCAAGTCCAGCAGGATCTGTAACAACAGCTCACGTGACTAGGAGACTACCCTGGAATCCCTTTAAAAAATCCAATGGGCAAAGGGATAGCAGAGACTTGACTTTTGATAACGTTATTTTAAGATGATTGCAATGTTCATGCTTTGCGTTTACTGTAAATTGATTTTACAGCTTTTTGATTAATTGAAAATTTTGATATAAAAATAAACGGAATCAATGTTTCAACAAATTTAAGATTTATCGTTAGAATGTATATATTTTAATTCTATCTTTTTTCTATTGTTTTCTATGATCAAAGAAGAATATTTTGAAAAAACAAAATATGTTTAAACCGTTCGATTGTTGCCAAACTGTATATTGACTATTGATTAATGTTTGTAGATATAATAAAAAATGAATGTAGAGTATGGATAAGGTGTCAGTAGAATAATGTTTATTGTTCTAATAAGCAATGGAATTTAATTCTCTTATAATAACATAAAAATGTATTAATATTAAAATAATACAAAATCCATGAATCTTTTTGAAAAGAAACCTTAAAATTGTTTTAAAATTTTTTAACTATTTATATTGAATTTTATTATTTTACAAAAATAATAATATAGAATCATAATATAATGAGAGTAAATTCAATATGATCTAAACTTCTTAATAATATAGTTTGTTATTTTTTTCAATCGTAAGTGTAATATTAGTTTATTCATTGACTCTTATCACGTTCATAACTCTTGATTCAATATTCACAGAATTTACAATATCTATAAAATGTGAATGCATTAGTAATGTTTGTAAAATTTATGATTTACATGTAGGTATGAATGTATAATTAGTTAAGTAATATGCATTAATGAAAGTATTAATTTTTAAAATATCCTTTTGGATAATTGCCATATATATCAGTTTTATAATGAATTCTAAAAATTATTTCAAAAAAAGAAAAGAAAAAAAATTCGTGATAAAAATAAAGTTTTATTTTATTTCTTTTTTTCTTAATTATCAAATATCGTGTACAATATGTTTATTGTATTAAAAGATGGTAAATATATATGTATAAAGTAGTGCCAATAATGTAAAGGAAATCATTAAAAACAAAATTTTGTTAATTATTTTTGACAAAAGTTTATATATAACATAAGAATATTTATGTTTTAAATAATATATCAAAATTAAATCTTGGGTTCAAAAAATTAATATCAAATACACATGAAGTTGTTAACACTTATTGTATATATAAATCTATCTTTTTTTTGTTATTTGTGTACTTATTAATTATAAAGGCATGTGATTAATTTTTGTACATGAAAACGTTTGTAAGAAATTTTAAATAAATATAAATAAAAATATAAATAAATTATCATCTATTTACTTATAAGAATTTATATTTATTGAATATAATTGCTTTAGAATTGCTTTTATGTAAATTTCCTTATAGAAAATAAAATAAGTAAACAAATTATTTTACAAAAATACTATTTACATTCGATTATTCCTGAACAAAATTATCCAAGTTAAAAAATATCTTTACTGTATTTTATTATTAAGTATAATTTCTTTAAATAAATTAAAAATAAAACTACATATATTTAATATCAATTGTAATAATTCTTTAATTTTCTAATTATTTAAATAGATAAAAATTTTTTAGTTAAATAATAAAATAATATTCTATATATATCAGATTATTAGTTATACTATTGTAATTATTATAAGATAAATTAAAGTTCTTAAAACACTGCAATATTTTATTATTTCAATAATTGTTATTAAAAATGAAAAATTTCAATATAAAATCCTTTTCTTTAAATTTTCAGAAAAACTCATAAAATATTAAATTTAAAAATATCTTTAATAAATAATATATTAAATTATAATAGAGTATAATGCACGCAATTGTATATAAAATGCTGTAATAATAAATGCTAATAGAGCAGAGTCATTTTTACTAATTAATTATTATTTGTAAGTAAAAAACTGAAAATTTTATTTAAAAAATTAAATAGTACGTTTATATTTTTATTTCTACATAAATAATTTACTTGGCTATAACCTCTAAACCATTGTAATTAGTAAGATATAGGACTAAAAACGGGCAAAGGAAACCCAATTTGTAAGTAATATATGAATACGAAATATTATCGTTCGAAATAGGGAAGAGTAGGATATTTAATTCTGTTTTAGTAACATTTATCGTTTTTACTTTTCCTGTTTTATTATATTGCACATATCGAATCCGCGATCTTGCGAATCTGCGACATAAACCTTCTGACTGATGATTGCGACCACCTATTTTGTAAAGCGAGCATATTCGGAATCAACAATCAACAGTTACCTCAATGAGGATACTTCCAAAGATTTAGAGATAACAGTAACAAAATTAAGCGAAAACGCTGTCAGGGCCATTTCATCATATTCTTGTTCGAATATTGGAAGTGCCAGCCTCTAATTATTGCTACACCCTTCATATTTTATTTATGCATACAACGAGACTTGGCACAAAATTCACGAATTTATATAGCGCTGTTTTGAATAATTATAAATTTCGTATCTATTTCAAGTTGTAAGCTTTTTAAAATATGCATACTTGTTACTATTCAGAGGGTTACGTAAGCTTTATTTAATTATTTCAAATTTCTAATCCACAAGAAACTATTTCAACAGTAATTTATTAATATACTTATTTACTTAATAACTTACATATTCTACGCTTTGTATTGCATTTAAATTCAATGAATGATAACAAAGAATTTAATAACAGTAAATTGTATAAGAAATAAAATTAAACTTATGAAATTATAATTTAATAAACTTCTTATAAAATAATATTTATAAAGCACCATGAAAACAAATAAACATTAATTATTCCGTTATTAGAAAAGAATAGATACAAATTTTTGCAATATTTTATTATAAAATAAATTATTATTTTAAAAGATGTTTAAACATTAAATATCTATTTTAATTAATATAATGTAATATAACAATTAAAATTACCAGCTTAATTTTAATAATAGATTAAATTATATATATTCAATATATTTACTGTATTTATATATAAATATACATATATATATAAGTTCTTATAATATGATAACAAATTATTTTGAAATTTGGTAATTGTATGACTATTTTTGAAATGTTGAATACCTAAAGAAATAATTTATTACCGCTAAAAGTACATTGCGATATACTTTCTTCTCATGCTAGCTTTTAAGGTCAAGAGAAAGTTTAGCAGTGGCCCAATACAAGTTATTGCATTTTACTGTTTTCCTTTTAGATTTAAAATATCGCAAATATATAAATTTTCTCTAAATTTTTAATATATACGTTATATTTAGGAAATATATATTTTAGAAATAAATTATATACTTCTTATGATAATCTTAATTTTTAATGAATTACTTAAAATAATTTCATTTATCTAAAGAGTTCATTAATTCGATTAACTAATGTGAGTATTTAATTTAAAATTAATTATTTTTACGTAAGCCATTACGTACTAACATTCAGTAAGAGTTTGCAATCTGTTTGGATTGATCTGATTATTAGAATATCATTCTAATAATTATAATAAGAATCAAATCATTGCAATATTCATTGCAGAAAAACATCAAAATATGTACAATTTATAAATCATTTAAAAATATTTTGAAAGTTTCGATATTTTATTTTGTAATATTTCATCAATTATTATAATTGGTTTTAGTTTTTATATTTTTCAATTTGCGTATTTAACTTTATATGTACCGACATTTAGTTTACACAAGTCCAGATATTATATCATATATAATACTATTCTTAATATTGAATAAAAAATAATTATACATTGCATAAAATTGACAACACGCTTTATTTATTTAGTTTAATGATGAATTAAAACTGCAATAATTATATTTATATAAATCTATTTAACAAACAAAAGGAAAAAATACTATAAATTTGCATATCAACGATTTAGAATCGTCTTCAATTCATAACTTAACACTACTTAAAGTGCCTTATTTAAATTACTAAATCTTCAATTAATAGTCAAATTACCGAATAATGAAGAAAGAATGAAAAATTTTCGCTTTTCATAGTAATTATACGCATATCTTTGATTAAGTAGACAAAATTGTTTTAGAATTTATTTAAATAATAAAATCAATATATCTAATAAATAACTAACCAATTTTATTTAGAATCCAAAATTGAAAAATTTTACATTTAATTTTGGTGTTTATAATAAAAATAAATATTGTTCAAAATATATTGAAACACAAAATTTATAAAATATGTAAGAAATTACAATATGAATTTTTTAATTAAAAATATGAAATTAAAAGATTTTTACCTATAACATACAGATTAACATGACGTATATTAAAATAATTAGTGGTATAATTAATAAATATTCCAAAATTTGTTTCTATAATTTAATTTTAATAATTCAGGTATAATCAAATTAATGTAATCTATATATTATTTATTTTATATGTATAAAATATAAAATAATTTTTTTTAAGAATTCAGGTATAGTCAAATAAATGTAATCTATTACTTATTCTATATTATTTTATTTTATTTTTTTTTATGTATACTAAATAAAATATTTTTTTTAATAAATTTACTAATTCATATAATTTTTCAATATATAATTTTATAAAAACAGAATAGATTTAAAAATTGGGCTAAATCTAAATTTAATAATAATTGAAATTCAATAAAAGTTTCGTTTATAATAATAAATTTAATAATAATTTATAATAATAATGAGTACAAATAATCTAATTTTTTATAATAATGTAAAAACAATTAAAAAATCAATTAAACAATTAAAAAAATATAATCTGTAATTAAAATAATAAGCAATATTAATTAAAAAATTATATTTTAATCAATCTATTAAAACTTAAAGAAATGTATATAATATTTTTTTTTTAAATAATTATATAAAAATTTAATAATATAATTCTCTATATTCTTAACTGTCAAAAATTGTTCAAGATATAATTATATATAGAAAACATGAATCTGCACTATATATTAAAAAAAACATGCACATAAAAATTTGTAAATATAATTGTCTATATTCTTAATTGTCAAAAATCCCTCAAGATTAGATTTAATTGATCTAATGTAATAATTAATTAGTGATAGAAATATTATTCTATTTATTTAATATTTATTAATAACAAATATGTATTAAGAACACATATTAAAAGGCAATTA